ATCATAATCATTATGTTGCCGGCACCTCAGCTGATCATTATTGTTCTGCTTATTCCTAATACAATATTATTATTATTATTGTTATTATTGTTATTAATATTATTTCGCAGTCAAGTGCTTTGTTTGCCATGTGCAGCAAGAACAAAAATAATCAATTAATTGCGGATCCAGGCAGCGGGCTGTAAACTTTTTTAAAGCCTCTGTCCAAAGTTGGCCGCTTTTTGAGTCACGTAATTAACTTAGCCAAGACATCAATCAACAGCGACTGACTGAGACATGACTACAAATACAGTCGCATCCACAGCGACAGCGACGGCGACGGCGACGGCGACTGCTATGAAGCGTGCGCACTTGAGCGGATAAACATAAATCTGTAAAGTTCGCACTACCTCCACGGGATAGTACCTCGCGCTGGGCGTGCGGTGGTGTTGGTTGGGCGCTTGCCACTTGGGTGGCGTCTAGAGCCACTAGAGCCGGTGGTTGGAGGTCGGAGGCTGCCTGTGAGTATTATTGCGCTTGTCATTATCATTAGGGCGCTGTCAAAGCGCTCTGGCAACAATAACAAGAACAAAGCACAGCTGCGTCAAGACACACACACACACACATATGCACACACGATTTACATAAGTAGAGAGACACCCACGAACACAAGAGCATAGAGAGAATGAGAGAGTTGGAGAGAGGGGTGGCCAGAATAAGAGGGACACCCACACACGTGCAGCCACACACTCACACACACACACACACAAGTAAGACGGCTAGCTGCTAAACGCCTGAGGACATAAATATTGATTGATTGTTGTCAGACAAAGTTATTGTCGTTGTCGTTGTCGTTGTCACTGTGTTATGTACTTGAGGGGCTTGAGCAGGTAGTTGTCTGAGGTGTCAACTTTGTGGCTGCTGCCCAACCAATAAGCACAATAACACGCCGACGTCACGAACGAAGCACGAATACTCTGCCGAGACCAATGTGAATGAGAGTTATAGGCAAATTCAAGTGACATGGTCTATCAGCTGCTGGTAGTATGACGTCATTTCTGAGCAGACTCTTTACGAGTCACAGTCAATATACCTTCAGTTGCCCTGCAAAATTATCATGCGACAAAGCTGTTTCCATGCTGCCTTGTTATTATTCATATGCATGCACAGATACAGTCATACATATTATATATATATATATATATATTGATAAGCGCACAAATTGTGTTTGTGGCACTCCGTTGATGTTGCCACAAAGGCACTGCACTCATAAATCATCGTCATAAATTGTCTATATAAATCGACCGAAAATAGACGAGAGTCCGGACAGGCATAATAAATTCCTTATTCGACACGCGCAGCTTATGCCGGGGCTCGACTTAAATGCAATCGAATTGAAAATCAAAGCAATGAAGACATTTCGGCCACAATTGCAGCCAAAGCGTGGCACAGCCACAGCCACGCCTTTGTTGCATTAGCAGCAGAATGGAGAGCAAAGAAACAGAGAAAGCGAAGTAAGAAAAGAAAAAGCGTAAAATAAAAGCGAGCGAACTCAATGGGATTTACATTTTCCAGCTATTGAGCATAGCGCTCGATTTTAATGCGAGAAATAGCAAAAAGAAACGAATCAGTTAAGTCAGCATATCCTGCCAGCTCCTGCGCACTCGCCGCTCGCCCTCCAGCCACGGCTCTCGTTCTGGACAAAGACCAAAGAGCTCTGCAAAAAATGTAAAAACTATTAAGCGGCATTAGCCGCGCATTGCGCTTGGTATTTGTGTGTCGTGGTCCTGCTGTTAAAACCGCTTCTCATCCTGTTTCCTACTCGAGCGCTGCCAAATGCGCTACAAATCATTGCAGCCGTCGGGCATTGACGACAAACCGAACTGTGGACTTAACTTCAAAGCTTTGTATAGCACATGCTGCATGTCTGATGAAATTTTTATGAATTGCGGTATAAAGTATACGAATTTGGGAAATTATTCCAGAATGAAATTAAATTCTGATTCCATAAAGATTTTTAGAATAGATCTGCTTTTTATTTATTTATATATACAAAAAACATCTCTCCTCATACATCTCGCTAATATTCGATCTCCCACATTTTCGAGAAATTTGTAATGTCTTAAAATATTTGAGCTATTCATATGCAAATAAATACTAAGAACAGCATTTATTTATACATTTACGAACATGTCTATTAATAAGACCAGAGTTGGATAATTATAGGCGGAGAACAATGTAGACGAGAGAACAAATTCCGAGGAAGTTATCTACATTGTTCTCCTCCTATAATCATCATACTCTGGCCCGTATTCTCACAAAGCGCTTAAAATGATTGCATTTATATGCATTACTTTGTTATTCTATAAAATAAATATGATATAATATATTATAATATTACAACACTATATTATGCATGTCCCACTCATTAGTTAAGGCTTAGAGCTCACTGTGCTATAGAGTCTTACTTAAAACGCTGCAACAATCAAGCTGAACAAAACTAATACTAATCCATTTGGGTTCCGCCAAAAGCGTATATCCTGGCCATTCTGGCCTAAGCAGCTGGCTTAACCTGCTTTTAGCTGCTGTTTCCGTCGAACTTTTGATCGAATGTCAAGCCATTTGAGTCAACGGTGGTCGCTTCGCTGCCTCTCTGGCATGACCTTTTGACTCCGCTCACTCTCTGACGATTGGTTTTCTATTCCCTTTTTTGCTGTGCTTCAGCTCGTTTCTCCGCATTCTTTTTTTGTTAATCCTGCAACAAGCTATATGTATGCACATCCTTTTACCACTGGCTCGTTGTCCTGCTGCTGTACTTGCAAATCTAATTTCATATTTTATGAAGTGGCGCAGTGTTTGGTCCGCGACGCCTTGCCAGCCAGCGAACCAGTCAGGCAGTCAGGCGGCGAGGCGGCGAGGCGGTGAGGCATTCACCCAGGCAGTCAGGCAGTCTGGCAGTCGTTCGACGTCTCTTCATTTTTCCGGGCATTATTTTTACAGTTTGCACCTTGCGGTTCGTTTGCGTTCGGTCCGGAGCTGTATTCGTTGCAGCAGTCGAAATTGAACTGGAAAATCAATTGTTGGGCACATAAATTTGTTAGCACGAAAATTGCACCGTTGGGTAAAATTTATTTCTGAAAATTGCACTCAAAAGTGGACACAAGATAAATGCACCAAAAATATATCCAAGCTTCGGCCCTTAAAGACCAGCAGCAGCAGCAGCAGCAGCATCTGCAGCTGAATAAAGCTCAGAAAACAATGCCCAATTGCCATGGATGCAGGGGATGCAATGGGCTGGAGGCTTGTTGTCATATCATCATCATTTGATCAAGGCATTCTCAATGCATGCCTCGTACTTCATTAGCGGCAACTCGGGAATCTCGGCCTGGGAAAAATGCCAGCAATGAGAGCGAGCGAGTGGGAGGCGGGAGGCGGGAGACTTCTGGCCTGGATTATGTTGCTTGTGCTTATCTAGGTTAAAACGATGCACAAATATTTTGTAGACACTTAAGCAGCTCAAGTTCTGTGTGTGTGTTTGTGCTTGAAATTTATCTGCAACATTGCGATTGCCGAGGAGACATGCAACAAAAGCATCGCAGAGCTGCAAGCTCAATGTTTTGCATGGTCTATCCAAAGGACGTCAAACGGAAACGGAAACTGAAATGGCGACATTGTTGAAAACATGCACGTGTAACTTGTTACACAAGCGCTCGCTCTGCCAAGGTGCTAGCTGCAACATGGGGCAGCAGCAGCAATGCAGCAATCCAGCCAGAAGAAGCAGCTGCAAGAAATCTTTACAAAAGCGGCAATTCATTTTAGCATTTCTCGCATCCAAAGCGAAAGACGTGCACATGTCAGACGATTGTGACCCGGCCAGGCCAGCTTGCCAGCGCGGGCGAGGGCGGAGGTGGGGGAGGCGAGGCAGGCATGTGAGCTGTAGATACATGGGGCAAGTAGGTGCCAAGATAGCGTAGCCAAGCTATTACTGAATACCTGGGAGCCTGAAAAGGCTGCCAGCTCTTGACAATGACAAAAGCGACATTGAGTGTGGAGCACGGGAGTGCGGGGAGTGCGTGGGCAGCGATGCTCGCAGTGCTGGCAGTGAAAGGTTGCCTGGCTGTGACACGGTGCCGTCTCGCCAAGGACTCGGAACAGAGCTGACCAAAGCTGCCATACAAATGGCGCAGAGTGTTGTCAGTGCTACTTACTGCTGCTACAATAGATAACTTAAGCTGATGCCCCGGTTGTCTAATGCCTCAACTATACTGAATACATAAACTAGAGTGCAAGCAACAATATCTTCTTTGTATGGGAAAAGCTGCTTTGTATAATGCACAAAGACGGTCCGTAAAGGGTAGAAGGAAAACTACTTGAGAAATTATTGAATATCCTTGAAGATATAGAGCAGGTAAGATAAGCTTAAGAATTTCGCCAATTAAGAGCAGAATCTATTATTGAAATAACAATAATGATGCCGGTTGAGAGGATGGATAGTAATAATGGAATTCTGATAATAACAAAGGAGTGATTAAATAAGCTCCAATAACAATTTACAATTGATAATTAATTTCAAAACGCTACACAATTATTATTTAATTTAAAATAAAAAACATTTTATAAATTCATTTATCCATTATTGTTCACTTTTAATTATTTAGCGAAGACAGCAACCACACTCAAAGCTAAGCCGAGCTGTAAGCTTGCTTAAGTGATCAAAGCTAAACGAGCTTTGCTCTCACTGTCTTTCTCGCTCTCACTCTCTAACTCGCCGAAAGCACTCGAACAGCTGGTTTAGTCACGACGCACACCCGGAGAATCAAGTGTTTGCCAAGAGCAAGTGAGCAAGTGCTCAGTTGCTGCAGAAGGCAGACCACTTACAATTTGATCTTTTGAACGGAGCGCTTAGACAGCTTTGTTAACTCAACGACGCTGACGCCGACGCCGACGCCGACGCCGACGGCGACGTCGCTCTGCTGCTCTAGCCATACTGTCGGATCTGTCAGCGCAAATCAGCGTTCGGTTTGATATTCAGTTTTAAATCGTCGCTGGCTCTGGCAACAACACGCGGAAACGTTTCTGGCATCGGGCTACAAAGAACTCGCAGTGAATAGGCGGCTTATGCAAAATCAAATCGATTCGAATCGGATCGACGATCGACATCGATTAGCGGCAGGTGCAAATTCAAAGTAATAAGAACGTGTTAACTGGTCAGTAAACGAATGAGTCAGCTAAGTAAGCCAAGTGTCCGCCTATATTAGTTGTTGCTTTGTCCCATTGTGGCTCAATCTTTGGCTTAAGCTGTTGGCTAATTACGCGAGTAAAAGATTTAAAAAAAAAATCAGTAACAGCTACAGCAGCAGCAACAACAACAACAACAATAATAATAACATAAGCAACGCTCACATTTCGCATGCGCAAAGTTTGTCTAGTTTGTTTGCGTGTATTAGTGTCGCTCCACCGCGCTGTGTGTGCCTGTGTCTATGTGTGCGCGTGTGCCTGTCTCAATCTTTTGCTCAATCGCAATCTTTGGCCATTGCCAAAACTGGTTAACTAAAAGCAAACGTGTTCTTTGCGTTTGTTGACTTTGCAAACACAAAACGCGCCAAAGTTACTCGGCAACAGCAACAGCAGCAGCAACAAAAGTATTTTGTTTACATATAGTTTGCAGCAACAAAAGCTATAATACCTGCAACAATAACTAGCGCCAGGCAGCTGCATATTTAAGAACAGGTAAGAGAGCGTAAAGCCCCAACCACAATATATTTCGGTGGTTGTAAAAGGGCGGCAGAGCCTTGCGAAATCTCACTGCAAACTCAAGGATGATATCAACGCAAAAATGTAAATGCACAGCATTACAACAACAAAGACAATAACAAGAACCAGCGCATCGTCAACGACCTGCTCCAATTCAATTATGCAGCTCAAGGTCAGCAGCAACCGCTTTAAAATGCAAACTCAGCTGAAGCTGAAGCTGAAGCTAATTTCGAAGCCGCAGTCGCAGTCGTAGTCGACGTCGCAGTCGCTGTTGAAGTCGAAGTCGAAGTCAAACTCGAATTGGAAGACAATGCATAGTTTGCTGCTTCTTAACTTATCTGGCGTGGGTATTTGCTGCTCATGTTTTGTATACCCTGTAGTCTATAAGTAGTTCGCTCTGGTTGTATTGTTGCTTTATTTGTTCATCAAAAGAAATAGATCATATAATATTACTTAAAAATGTCGAGTTTATTTCCAAATAGAAAATTTTCAGAATTTTCCTCTTCTGTTTATAGGGTATCTTATAGCTGGTGCACTGCAAGCCCAATAACTTGTTTCTCTTTGCTTCTTGTCTGTTGTAGCCACGTGTTGTTGTTGTTGTATTTAATAAGCCTGTTACTGCCATACAGCTACATCTGTATGTGGTAGCTCTGCATGTGCACGACGATTAGTTGCTCTGCGAAGGGTATTGTGAGTAGGTCACAATGCTTTAATCGAACTCTGCAGAGAGACTTCCCAGTTATAATTGAATGGAACAATGCGAAAAGTACTTTTGCCTTATTGATAAATATTGTATATACATATATATATTTATATATTTTTGTGCATGTATATTAAACGCTCTTCGTAGGTCGTTGTCAGTCCTTGAACTCCACACAAAGGCCGAGGCCTGGTCATGCGTTTGTATCTGTGTCTTCGCTTGTCTCCGAGTGATTTATAATGATTTAATTCGTTGCTTTAAGCACGCCACTTAACCTTTTCGGTTTATACACAAACCGCAACAATGAGAGCAACTACTATGCCAACAGCGACAACAACAATAACAACGACAACAACAACAACAACGACGACAACAACAACAAGCATAGCATTAATAATAACAACAGCAATGCAAACAACAGTTGCGGCAACCACATTACTTGGCGCAATTGAAACCGCAAACCGCAAGTTGGCCCAATGCTGGCTGCTCTTTTGGCCCGTTTGCATTATGCTCGCTTATGGCATTTCGAAAAGGCAAAAACCTGAAACATTTTTACGCACCCAAAACATAAAACCAAAAAGGGTCAAATTAAAGAACGAACGCAAATTTAAGCACCGTTAGAGTCGCGTTATTTCATACTAATTTAATTAATAGATTACGTAACGATTATGCGGCATTTGTGCAGTTCAATGTGTGCAAAGCACATTCCGCACACATTGAGGCGTGAAGAAGGCAAACAGCATTATAATATTTCATTGAGGGAGCTAGCTCACTTAATAACACTCAAGTAATATTATTTTGCAAATCAAGAACTGAAATAAAATGCTTTTGCTATACTCTACAAAACTCGTTTATATATGATTTTGTTTATTGAATCTCAGTTAATAAACAACAATTGTTGTGTTCACACAAAAATAAATAAATAAAAAATAATATAGCAGCTACCATTAAGTTCAATTATAAGAATCATTTATTATGTCTAATATATTCCACTTCAGCTACGTTCAATTTAATAGAACATTCATTCGTTGCCTAATGTTTTGGTTCTTTTAGAATTTTGTTTTCTTTGGCTTTCCGCCTTCTTTTTGGCCAAGGCCTGTGACCAGTTCGCCTCATTTAATTATTTCACATGAATTGCAGAAAAATGCTCACAGCTTTGACTGAGTCACTTAATAAAACGTTAAGCATTATTGCCCGATAAGAATGTTTTTAAAAAAATGTATATATAATAATAATAACAATAATAATAATGAAAGCAAAACTTTTGCCCATTGTTGGCTATGAATTTCGATTTTAATTTATCGCCGCAATATTTTGTCATTGCGGGACTTAAGTATAACGAACCGACTTTGCATCTTACAAGTCACTCTGATGTGAAATTTCTGTTGATTATACGATGTGTCGATGCTTTTTAATTTGCATTATTTACATAGTAATTTGTACGTCCGTTGCGAGCAACATTACGTGTGTGCACTTTTCAAATTTTAGCTGATGGGGCTTTGAGTGACCTATATATATTCAGAGCATATCAAATTAAAGGTGGAGAAATGAAGTCTAATATAATATATATGAATCGAATTAAACTAAAGTCTAGTGTTGAAGACAGGGACTCCTCAAAAAACTAGAGAATCAGTTCGATAAACTTAAACTTTATATAGTCTTTAACAGACGTATAACCACCACCATTTAAGCGGTGATTAGCTGCCAAGAATTGCACATTAAAGTTTAAATTATATGGCACAGGAGCATTAAGAGGACATTAAATGCCGAAATTGTATTCAAACCGTGTAATGAATATTAAAAAATTTGTGCACAATTTATTTTCAATTATTAAACTAAATTTGAGTGTCAAATTGAAATAATTTGGATAATTGTCAGCAGCTAATTGAAGCACCAAAATTTGTAATTAGTTCGTGACTATTCGCGTGTGCACTCATTCGTTCTGACTGTTTGAGTGTATTCACAGTATTCCGAGTCAGCCAATGGCAATAAAATTCATTTGACATTTAGCACTTATTCAGGCTTTTGAGCTGAAATTAATGCAATGCAGCTAAAATATATTTAAATGCTCTTTATATTATATGTACCTATATGTGCACGTATATATATGTATATGTATATATTGCTATCAATTCATTTATTTACTTTCTTTTGTAATTGCATTGCATTCCGAAAATCGAAATTTTATTTTTGTATCCACGCTGACAGCAATTGGCATGGACTACTACTGTCAACACATTTGCCGGTAAATGATTTTTATTGAGTTTTGGGAAGGCGATTCAACATTTGGATCATTCGTTTTATTTATTGCCATACGGATGTCCCTGCAAAGGCAATTGATTTACAAGCTATGCAAGCAGAGTTAACCCACAAAAGGAAATAAAACACACACATGTACATATATGTATGTGTTTAAAAAAACAGAGCACGGAATGATTTTAACGAATTCATGCGTATCTCTCGCTATATATATATTTGTAATTATTCAATTAAAAAGACCACACATAAAATGTATAAAAATGACAGCGTCCAAAGGTAACCGCCAATAAAAATAGTCAACCAAATATAAAATAAAACAAAATTAATTGGTAAAAAAGAAAGTAAAAGGCTTTTTCTTTTTTCCTATTTTTTGTTTGTTGCCCAAACGTACAAATTGCATTTTACGCAATTTCTGCAATGATATATATTAAATTTATTTATTTGATTTAACCCTTAAATGTTTTAATGCCCTAGCAATGTAGGCTGGGAAATTATATTACCATAGTAATTGCATTGTAATTATGATATATTTTTTTATTATTTATATTTAAGCTATAAATAAAAAATTCTCAATTTGAACTTTTCATACATTCAGTCGAACTTAAATCCTATATAAAATAGTTACAAAATATATTTATAAAAATTATTGAATACCTTTTATCTATTCTTCTGCCTCGATCTGCTGTCTAAACATTAATAAAAATCATTTTCATTCATATTAAAGTTTTATAATTCTAAATAATGCAGAATATATACAAAACGGCTGCTTCCGAAATTATGCAAATGTTTATAACAGTCTAAGGACTGTGGGTGAATGTGTGAAGTGGGAAAGTAAAGGACGACTCACCCTCGAATCAATGCGGAATCAATAGCCTGAGCGATAAACAATCAGTGAATGCGAAAATAGATTTTCCAAGTCATATTTTTTTATGCCTAAAAAAAAGAAGAAGAGAGACGAAGCGAATTCGTTTGCATGAAAATATGCAAAGTTTTTGCATTTATTCGACAACGACAACCACTAAGAGTAATAAGCCACTTGTAAGGCAGCACAATGCCACGCCCACCACCTCAGCTCGCGTGAGACTGTGCGTGTGCGTGAGCGTGGGGAGACGTTTGACACATTTGCATAATCTGAAGCAAATCTTTGGTAACAAGTAATCGAAAATAAATTTGCATGACAAATAGTGGTCGATGCGGGACGTGGGGGAGGACTGAGGACAGAGTCTAGATGGGATTTGACACAAACTTCACAGAAGTCTGCACTTGATGCGCGATATCCGTAAATACACACACACACACACATAATAAATATATATATACTTCTTTTTCTGTAAATATGCAGCGTGATAGACGCGACTTTTGCATTGGGGCGTGCAAAATTTAATCACAATTTAAATTGAAAATTTTCAAAAAAAATTCAAGTGAGCTTCATTTTTTTCATTTGGGCCCTCTTCACAGCTGCAAATAGACAAACAACTGAGGCGAGCCCGCCGCAGGCCGCAGGCCAGCAACCACAGCGGCAACAACAACAGCGACATCGTCGAGTAATTGCCAAATGTTTGCGTACATATGTAAAAGTAATATTTGCATATAAACAGCCATATGTAGCCGATTTTCATTCGGCTGTGCAACGCACTTTTTCCACAGGGCCTCCCGTCTTATTTGCATACTATTTCAAAAGGTTGTCTGAAACATTTTTTTATTGCCACGCTGAGCTCCATATGACATGCATGCAAATACATACGTGTGTGTATGTGTGGGAGTGGGACGCCAAACGCCGTGATTTCATTTAAATAATCAAGAAGCATTTTATATTGAAATTAAACCGTAACCCAGCGGAGCAACATATAGATGACTTTTTAAGCCACTAAGTCATAGCGAATACTGCTTCGCAATTGTGTACGAACTTTATATGTTTCCAGTTGATAGCTTGCTCAAGTGCTGAAGTTGGCCAAAAGCGGCTTATGGCAGAGGCGAAATTCTAGCAATGCCAGCTTTGGGGTTTTTCTTTATACGT